TACAGAGCTACGGAGAACGACATCTATAACGTGAGTGCCCAAGCTGTGTTCTCTGAGTGCCTGGCTTCAGGAGCCTGTGCCTGTTGTTACTGGATGTGTGAGAGGAACAAGTGTTTGTTCCTTCAGAGCAAAGGGCTTGCTGTAAAACTGAACCGTTGCATCGGTGCGTTTTAATCTCTGTGACTATTTTATGTGTAGTTCTTCTCACCTCTGAACCCTGTAAGAGTACACATCGAAATCGGACCAGATGGCAGAGTAACTGGAGAGGCAGACGTTGAATTTGCTACTCATGAGGATGCCGTGGCTGCCATGTCCAAAGACAAAGCAAATATGCGTAAGTGCAACCGTTCTGCAGTGGTGCCCCCACAGCATCTGCTGTGACTGGGCTACCAAAGGTTCTCTTGCAGCCTGAAACTTGCAGTGAGGCAAAAACTCTGCTGAGGTTTGGTGTGAACTGGTCTCATGGCAAAATTTTCTTCTTCCAGAACACAGATATGTAGAACTCTTCTTGAATTCTACAGCAGGAGGAACTGGTGGTGCCTACGGCAGTCAGATGATGGGAGCGATGGGTATGTGTGTACAGTCTAACTGCATTTTAAACAGAGATTTAATGAAGCTGGCTGATTCTGTACAGCTCCTGTTTTATGTCTGACCTAAAAAACTCAATTTCAACATTCTGTCTTAATCACACAGTCAAGGAATCGGAAGGTGTAGTCCAAGACTGGAACACTAGCACATTGGCAGGTATAGAAATCTTTTGGGAATACCTATGAATAAATAACAGGCTGAATAAGCTGTGGTGTGTGTGGTGGGATGAGTGGCTCCTGGGAGCGTGGTGGTGTGGAAGAGAAGTGGGAGGTGCCTGCCCTTTATTCTCCTTCCCCCTGCCTATTTTTGGAGACCAGAACATAGTCTGGTGATGGAGGATGTATCTGTTGCACATGACTTGCCATTCAAGCTTGGTCTTGGTGGTGAGGGAAAATCTATTGGGAATTTGGAGAAGCTGTCTGAATTGCTCTGTCAAACTCCAGATTGGTTTGAAAATCTAAAACTTGTGTTTGCAAAACAAGTCTAAAGCCACTGTTGTGTTTATAAAGCAGATGCTCTTCTTGATACCTGACTCGTCTGGTTTCTCAGAGATTAAGGAGGTGGTTGGTTTTTGGGGGTGTCTTTCTCGAGGGTGGGGGCTGTGTGTGTGTGTGTGTGTAGATACGCAGCTGCTTTTACAGTATCTTGATTGGAAAATGTTTTTAGTCTGATGCTGATAATGGTAACTGCAGAGAAGTTCTGTGGAGTACAGACCAGTGACGAGGTGAGGAGCAGCAGTTAGTGAGCTGCTGGAGAAGGCTCCTGTAGCACTGCTGGGGTGCACAGCTGGTCTGGAACAGCAGTCAGTCCGTGTCAGGGCTGCACACACACACACCAGTGACTCCAGTTAACGTGGCAGCAAGCCTGGCTTCTGCAGGGCTGGCTGCTGTCGTGGGCAGCAGTCCTGTGTCAGGTCACTTGGAGCCAAGCTGAAGTCTCTCAGGGTGTGTGTTCTACACAATAGCAGATCCACCCCCCTCTGCGTGGTCCATAGAATCTGCAGAAGTCAATCCTTACAGCAGGGGCTGGGGAATCACAAGCACTTGCTGTAATTCTTGAAGTTCTTGTTGCCACTTGATCTGTAGGAACCTGCTCACTTCCTTTGAGCTTGTTCCCTTGTACACTTGGGAGGAGAGTTTTCTAGGTGAGAGAGCGAGCTAGGGCAGGGTAGGGGCATGTGTTGATAGTTAGCAAGACTCTTCTGCCAAGCAAGCTCTTACCCTTTTTATCCTTGACTTGAAAGGAAGCCAATCCAGTTATGGTGGCCCAGCTAACCAGCAGCTGAGTGGGGGTTATGGAGGAGGATATGGTGGTCAAAGCAGCATGAGTGGATATGGTAAGCATTGCTTCACTGGTTTTAGGTGGGCCAGGTGCAGCTGGCTTAGCATGTAGCATGCCTTAACGTGCTGTTCGCTGGTGGTGAAGGGCGGCACAAGCCCTGAAAGCGGAAAACTTGGCTGTTGTGAATTGTGGAACTGATGGAGAACTGGAGGGGGATGGACTCAAAGCAGGAACTTGGAGCTGAGGGGGCAAATGTGGGAGATGACTCTGAAATGGGTGGGAAATGCCAGTCCAGACTTTGATTACTCCCACTTGTTACCTTCCCGGTGTGGAGGCTGGAGACCAGCCCGGTTTAAATGCATGAGTAGAACCAGGGGAAGGTGTGTGGGAGGCTGGGTGCTCTCCACCCCCAGAAAACACTGGATTTGAGAGGGGGGGGCAAGACAGAGTTAGCTCTGTAACAAGTAAAGAATAAACTTCGGTGTGGGTCGGGAGCTGTACACTGACACTCTGCAGTATTGGGCACAGTAGATGGTGTTTACGCGGTGGCCCAGCCAGGACAGGCGTTGGGGGAATGCTGCTGCGAATCGACGTGAACCTGCTGTCGGTTTTCCCCTCAGACCCCGGGAGCCAGGGCGCCATGAACAGCAGCTACTACAGCAGCGGGAACCGCGCCTCCATGGGAGTGAACGGCATGGGCGGCATGTCCAACATGTCCAACATGAGTGGTGGCTGGGGAATGTAACCAATTGCTGACTTTTGGTCAAAAAAAATAATCTTTTTTTAAAAAACGTAAAAAAACAAAAAACTAAGTTTAACAGTTTTGCAATACGAGCTTGTGATTTATGCTTTACTGTAAGTGAATCCAGGATTGTTATTTTAAAACCTTTCAGGTTCAGTATTTTTTTGGAAACATACAGAAAAATGAACATTCATCTTAGGATGTAATAACCCAAGTTGAGTAAAGACTATAACTGTTAAACAACTTTGAGCGTTTCTCCAGTTAGTTTTGTTGTAGGAGTGTATTTAAGCAGTTAAGCGTATTTAGGTTAAAGCTGTTTGAATTACGTTAAATGTTGCTCTTATACCATATTACATCCAACACTGTTTTGAATCCATGTTGAAAGAGACATGCTTTTCTTTTTGTAAAGAAACAAATATAGGAGCTGTGTCTGAAATTCAAAGTGAACATTTGGCATGTTAGTTCTAGTTTCTTTCTTTTTAATATCCTGTAAGGCACGTTAAAAGCTTTTTTTTTTTTTTTTTTTTAAGTTAATTGGGGGGAAAAAAAACCATGTCGAGACGCAATACGGCTACTTTAGGATTTTGGTCTTGGTGTTCGTATAAAAATTCTGAGGCCTTGATTTAATCTTTCATTGTATTGTGATTTCCTTTCTAGGTGTATTGCGCTAAGTGAAACTTGTTAAATAAATCTTCCTTTTAAAAACTGGAACTCATTCCTTCTTGACCCTCCAACTTTCTGTGCTGTAGCTCCCGCCTGCAGAGGTGTCGCTGCGTTCCTGGGTCCTTGGTGGTTGTAGCACTGAAATGTGCATCTGCTGTGAGCAGTGGGACTGCTCCTGAGGTGATGCTGCCCTTGGGGGGGGTGAGGTGGCACTTGTTTCTCAAGCCAAAAGGGGGTTAGTGAAGAAAACCAGCACTGGGTGCCAAAAAGGAGTTAAAAATGCCTCAAGGCTGGGATGTGACCGAGGTTCTCCAGGGCTGCAGAGGGGCTCTGAGGGGTAATTCTGTACTCGAAGGCATCTCCCCTCTGGAGCCACTGTGCTGTGTCAATGGATGTTGCAGCTTCATGCAACCATGTTTCAATAAATGCCACTTGTCAAACATCCTGCTG